ATGATCCTACTCTTCTCCTTCTTGTTACTTCGTTAGTCTTATCTAGGATTGATTATTGTAACTCGCTCTACTATGGTCTTCCTGACTCTATACTCTATCCTTTAAGTAAAGCTTTTAACTCTGCTGCTCGTCTAGTTGCTCGTGCCCCTTTCTTTTCTCATATATCTCCATATCTTGTTCTCTTGCACTGGCTACCTATAAAATATAGAATAATTTTTAAAATTTGCACGTTCATGTATAAGTCTCAATCTAAATTATTTCCTAAGTACTTATCAGATATATTAATTGAACCTAAACGCCCCGGTTTACGATCGTCTTCTTCTTCTCGCTTTTTCTTAACTCGTGTTAAACACTCTTTTGCCAAATCTGCTTTTGCTTTTTCTGGTCCTTTTCTCTGGAACTCTCTGCCTACTTCTCTAACTATTTCTCCATCGCTTGCGAAGTTCAGAGCGGATCTCAAGACCCATCTGTTTTCAAAATTCATTGAGGAGCGCTGTTGAACATCGCGGAAATAGCGCTTTATAAGCTAATTGATTGATTGATTGATTGATTGATAATCATCATCGAAATTAAACTAATTAAAATTATGTCGGCAAACAAAAGTTTTCTTTGATGTTTTGTTAGAATCACAATCATCACTAAAATCGCAATGAAGGTAAAAAATGTTTCTATTGATGTAATTGTGTTGTCTTCTGCAGTTTAATAGCGTTCTAGTACTATTGCTAAAATATTGACCTTTGTTATTTTGTTTTTATATTATTTATTTATGATTCTATCCACCTCATCAAATTCGTGAGTTGTCAACTACTGATTTTTAGTTTTTTATTTTATTTGTTTATTTATTGTTTATTATTAATTTCACTAAATGATATTAGTTTGAAGTTTTCACTCATAAAAATTAAGTGGATCTCTCGTAAAAATTGAATGACTTCTTCTGCATTCACTGAATATTTGACATTTTATAAATAAGTCTTGAATTGGTAGTTTCATTTTACAGTTTTCGCAAAATGGAAATTGCGTTTTATTGAATAGCCACGAATAAGTCATTTTAGAATGGCCGGTTTTCAATCTATTGATTATTATCATATCATGTTGTTTCGACTTAATTTTTTTCTCCCAGAGGTATCAAGAAAAAACACAGTGCATTTAAATAAATAGCTGAAAAAACTTTACAATGCATTTTTCAAAAAGGCAAGGCATGATGTACAAATACCTATAAGTAACCTTACATTTGCGTTTATTATATATATATATTTGTAGGTTATATATATATATATATGGGTTAATTTTTACGAATATATATATATATATATATATATATATATATATAATCAATCAATCAATCAATTAGCTTATAAAGCGGTATTTCCGCGATGTTCAACAGCGCTCCTCGATGAATTTTGAAAACAGATGGGTCTTTAGATCCGCTCTGAACTTCGCAAGTGATGGATAAGTAGTCAGAGAAGTAGGTAAAGAGTTCCAGAGAAAAGGACCAGAAAAAGCAAAAGCAGATTTGGCAAAAGAGTGTTTAACACGAGTTAAGAAGAAGCGAGGACAAGAAGACGATCGTAAACCGGGACGTTTAGGTTCAATTAATATATCTGATAAATACTTACAATTAATATATATATTAACAGTTATTAACAGTTTATTAACAGTCTTATTAACAGTTAAAACTAATTAAAAGTCTTTTCCGCATGCTGTTAACAGTCAACTCCTGCACCTGCAGGTTTGGGTGAAATTTATAAACTGTGAATGCAATGAAATAGAAAGTTATTAGCGTTCTGTGGGAACATTTCATGAATTATATTTTTGCGAACAACAATTTAGATTCCAGTAAGTCCAGTTTTAAAGTAATCCAGTATTGTCCGGATACCACTGAGAACGAAATATGATCGTAAGACTTTCAAACGTTCACGCATATTAATAACTTCGTTTCTTCTATTTATCCCGCTGCTTTACAAAGAATTCATTGTTTCGTTATTATTCTGCTGTTGTTTTTCAGCTCACGTATGCGTGCGTGCGTGTGATTGTGGCGTTGCGTGCGTGTGCAGTTTGCAGTTGAGGCTGGTTCATTGTTATCGTGTTAGTTTTGTTAACGAGAGAATAAACACGTTGCGCGGTGAGTAATTAATTACGCGTTTGTTTATTCTAATTTAATTTATTCATGTTAGTAAATTTTTTTCGAACACTTATAATATATTCTTCTCGATTTCTGTTTTTCAAAAATGTTTTGTGAAAGAATATAAAAATACAAAAGAAAATATAAATAAAAAATGACTAAGCTGCATGTTAAGACAATTTCATTTAAAATTATTTTTATTGGTATTTAATTTTCTACTCCCATCAACTTTTTCATTCTTCTGGTTGGCAATCAGATCAGGCAACAAACGCTGCCACTAAAATACATTTTATTTTCGTCACATCTGTCGTTGAAACTTGAAGGAAGGCTACACGCTATATAAACATTGTTAATTTTGACTTATATATAGCATGCAACTGGCAAATTTTTTCTCGTAGTTATGGTACAAATCTTGAAGTGTGTGCATTTTAATATACGTTCTAACAACTCTGTGATAGAATCCATTCTTAATTCTTTGTACAAAAATCTAGTTTGTGTTAAAGTTTGACGCAGTCTTAGTTTTTAAAGTTTGTAAAATCGTTTGATACTTCATTCAACGTTAATAAAATAAAATTTTAATTTTTGGCAATGGCGTCATAAATTTGCTTTTGCAATGTTTTGTGAAAGTTTTTAAACATAATTAGAACAAAAGTTATACTGAAAATTCATAGACATAAACATAAAGATTTCAGATGTTCGAGTTTTTGTTTGAACTTCTGATCTGTTGTTCTCCGCTGATTTTACTAAGGTAGCATTTCTTACAACTTGAAGCATCACTGCTTCGTCATGTCCAACGCTGCTCATGAAGGAGAGAAAAAACAAAGGTTTGAAGTATGTCATTCTGTTATCGGTGAAGAAAAACCTAATACAAATCATGTTCGTCTGATCCTAAATGAAAAACAAACATCTGATCTCGTCAGGAAGATATCTCAAGTCAGCACTGGAACTTTTCCTGAAAATTTGGATGATTTAGCAAAAGTAGAAGAAAATGCAAGTCAAGATAATTCGCCAGCTCAGAAACCTGTTCAAGGCCCTAGTAAATCAAGACGACCGAACTCTTTTTTAAGCGTCTTAAGAAATATAACTGAGTTAAAACCAAACAAGGAAAATGAAAGTTATGCATTTTTTATGAAAGAAACGTTGATCAAAGAAGAACCAATTCAGTCAACATCTACAAGTGAGCCTACAAATGGTGTACAACCCGTTGACAAAACAACATCTCCTGAAAACCCAGTAACCCAGTATTCAAAACGTCTAGTTGAGAAGAATGGAACAAGTAATGTTCTTCCAAAAGCTACCTCCTCCAGACGTAATCGATTTTTGAGTGATATTTTCACGACTCTTTCAGACATGAGATGGAGGTACTGTTTAATTATGTTTGTGCTTGCTTATCTTTCTACATGGACAGCGTTCTCGGTGGTATATTGGTTTATAGCTTATGTTCACGAAGATACCGTGAATATAGACAACGCTGATTGGGATCCCTGCATATCAAACGTTCAAAATTTTGTTAGTGCTTTTTTATTTTCTGTTGAAACTCAGCACACGATTGGGTACGGGTCGAGGGCGATGAAAGAAACATGTTACGAAGCCATAGCAACCTACATGGTTCAGTCTTGCGCCAGTGTTCTTATCAACAGCCTTTTTTGTGGCCTAGTTTTTGCCAAACTGATGAGTCCTAGGTATCGATCTAAGTCAATAAGATTCAGTAGGCAAGCTGTCATATCATTTCACAATGACGTCGGATATTTAATTTTCAGGGTCATCGATTTCAAAAAATCTAATTTAGTTGATTGTATGATTAAAGCGGTTCTTATACGCGATAGAGTGACTAAGGAAGGAGAGTTTATACCTTTCAGTAACAGAAACTTGAGACTACATGTTGAGAAAACTAACAGCAAAGCCTGCTTTTTAGTTTGGCCGGTGAACGTCATACACACGATTGATGAGCACAGTCCTTTATTTGGATTGAGTCCACGTGAGCTGCAAGAGGAATACTTGGAGATCATCGTCGTCTTAGAAGGCCTGGTAGAAAACAGTGGAAAACTACTTCAAGTAAATTTATTTTGAACTATTAAAAGTAAGTACTTATAATAATTTAACTACGGTTTCAAACATTTATGTAGTAAACTTTTATGATAGAAGTTTAAGTGGTTAACTTTTATGAATATGTAAAAAAAAATTGAATTCAGGTTCGTACGTCGTACGTATCTCATGAAATAATATGGGGAGCTTCGTTTTCCACTATGCTGAATTTTAACATGGCAACCAACCAATACGAAATGGATTTTGCTAAATTTGATGAGATCATCCTAACTCTTCCGCTGCCTTCCATCAGCCAATCAAAAAATTCGCAAATTTTTCGCCGATCCGGAAAATCTGACCGAAAAAGTATTCTGGAGGAGAAAAATGCGGCTGATGAGACGAACTGCGACTCACGAGCCCTCGATAAATCCTCTTATACGGACAAACGTTTTTCATGCGTCTCAGGTGAGCACAAAATGCAAAAAATAAAAAAATATTTACTCAGGCGAAAAACGGATGCATTTTAATTATAATTATATCATGTGGCAATTTATAGCTCTTGTCAGATTTGATATTTTTCAAATTTTTGTACTTACCACGTTTGTACATAGTCATTTACGTTGGGTTCGTGTTTTTGTACGATTACTGCTTTTCATATTCTTCATTTTTGTATTTTAAATTAAAAACAAAAGAACTAATTTAACGATTAAAAATGCCTTGAAGTCATGCATAGTTGATAATGTAAAAGTTAAATAATGCTTTCATTCTACATGTTCTCTATTATGCATTCTTCCTCATGTCTGTCAATTTAAAATTTATCTGCATAAGCCAGTTATAACCAATTATAAATTTATAAATATGGCTTGTGTTTAAGTATCTCTTTCTATCCATCTCTCTCTTTCTCTCCCTCTCTCTCAATTTTTGTACAAATATGTAAATATATACAAATATCAACACATAACGGCCACCGGTCTGTGATTCGATAACTAACATTTTCATCATAACCATCATTATTATCATCATTATCATAACCTTCATTACAGTTATTATTATTATTATAATCATAACTATCATCAATATTATCATAGCTCATATAATTATTATCATCAATCATTATCATCGTTATCATGCCTACTCACCAGCCATCATCATCCTCCATTATTTCATTCATCGTCACATTAACAATAAATTCTCATATTCTTATCAGTTACAAAATATTTTTGTACGGTTGGTGGTTTATTCGGTCATGGGTGTACGAATTTATTAATTTATAATTAATCATATATGTGTTTATTTATTTTTTAAACAAGCAATGATTTAAAAGCGAACTTATTTATAAAATGTGTCCCAGACTGATATAATATTAGCTATCATTCAGTTCATTTAGATGTTATCTATTGTTCATTTGCTAAAGTGTTATTTTATTTGTAATTGTAGTTTTTGTGAAAGTAACGAGGATATAGTAGATCTAACCAAATCACTGATGCTAGGACTGCAAAATTTATTATTGCATTTTATAGTTTAAAGCGGAAATGTTAACAAAAGATTGAAAAAAATCACTGTAATTAAGACAAGGTTCCATGTTTATAATTGGTTTGTAAACTTTCATATGATCTGCTTTTTTTGCCACTACTGCTTAAATTTTCAAATGTTATCTGTGATATTTACGTAAGTTCTGAAGTTCTCTGCCAACCACATCATTGTCTACTGAATGTTTTATTTATTCATTTATTTGACATCAATGCATGGTTTTTTATTTTACAAGCATTGATACTATATTGATTCCATATTTATACATGTATGTTTGTCAGCCTCTTTGTTGCCATAAAAAAACAAATTTTTGTATGATGAAACTTTCTGAAAATATACAGACACACACACACACACACACACACACACACACACACACACACACACACACACACATATATATATATATATATATATATATATGTTGGTAATAGACCATAATTTTTACAATATTCTATAAATTCTACCGAATGTTTGGCGAATATATATATATATATATATATATTTCCCAACATTCGAATATATATATATATATAAATATATATATATATATTTTCAGCTTTGATCAGTCACAAATAACAAATCATGGACTGACGCAATTAGTCTAATCAAAGCTGAAAATGTAGTGATATTTCTTAACAATTGTATCTACAACAGTCTCAACCTTAAACCTTAATTTTCATTTCATTTCATTTTCAAAGTTTTATTCATAATCAACAACATATCAAATAAGTGAATAAAAGTTATGAAGTTGAATATGCGGAGACCGAATAAGACTGTTTATCTTGTGGTGGCCACCGCAGGTAAATACATGAATAGTTAATGAAATAAAATAAGGAAAATAACTGAAGCAGAAAGATAATTGAAGATAAATAAGTAAATGTTCGTGTCATACATATATAGACATATAACTATGTAAATGTTCGCTCAGTACATATATAAACACATAAATGTTTAACCATTCATTCATCCGCATCATTTGTTCTAGCGTATTCTTAATATAATATTAGGTGGTGGAGTCGAGATCAGTGTCAATAAAAAAGCACGGAATTTTGACTTGAAATGTTGTAGGTTTATGATGGCTCTTAGATGGGGAGGTACAAGTTCTGTCCAAATTTTAGGACCTGTTATTTTTATGCTTGTCTGGATTAATTTGAGGCGAGTTTTGTAGATATAGAAGAGAGGGGTGTGTCTAGTGGTTGTAGATTGAACGGAGTTACTTAATGTGTAGAAGTTGATAAAGTGAGGTGGGAGAAGATTGTTGATAAATTTAAAAACGAATAAAGCAGAGTAGTAAAGACAGATGAAGTTAACTGGTAAAATTTTTTTTGCTAAGAAGAAGGGTTTAGTATGAGAATCGGGTTTGAGGTTAAAAATTAAACGTATTGATCTTTTTTGGGAAAGTATTAGGTTATTCAGGTGGCTTTTTGGACTATTTCCCCATAGTGTGATGCAGTAGGTTAGATAAGGGTAGATGAATGTGTAATAAAGCGTGCGAAGAGCAGAAAGAGAGAGTTTATATTTGATTTTGTAGAAGATGCCTGTGAGTTTGTTGATTTTGTCTGAAGTAGTTTGTAGGTGAGAATTCCATGAAAGATTTTCTGTGATGGTGATTCCAAGAAATTTGGTAGACAGGGTGCGGCTTATAGGAACGCCATTAATTAATAGGTTTAGGTTAGGAGCTTGGTTGGTGAGTATTTTTGGGCCAAAAATAATGTATGCACATTTCGAATAATTTATGATAAGTTTGTTATTGGATAACCAGTTAGAGTATTTTTGGAGTTCAAGATTGATATGTTCAGAGCAATCTGGTAGGTTGTTGGAAGTAAAAAGAAGGTTGGTGTCGTCTGTGAACAGTACGCATTTGGTTGAGGGCGAAACATTGCAGAGGTCATTTATGTAGATAGAAAATAGAAGGGGTCCTAGTATGGATCCTTGTGGCACCCCGTGATGAATAAGAGCGTGCTTTGAATTGATGTTGTCCATGGAAACATATTGTGTCCGTGATGAAAGATAGCTTCTCATCCAGTTGTGAGCTGTGCCTCTTACTCCGTAATGATGTAGTTTGGATAGGAGTATTTTGTGATCGATGACATCGAAGGCTTTGGATAAGTCCAGGAAAATGCCAATAGAAAGATTTTTGTTATTCATTTCATTTAGTATATGCTGAGTGAAGTCAAGAATAGCAAGCTCAGTTGAGTGGTTGGGTCTGAATCCGTATTGGTTATTGCAGATATATATATATATATATATATATATATATATATATATATAGATTATTTATATATAAAGCACCCTTTATTATTCTCAAAGGCGCTAACAATGTAAAAGTTGATTAAATGCGCTAATGCAAAAGTTGATTAAAGGTTTCACTTCAATCAAATCATATCATGAAAAGTTTGTCTGAAAAGATGGTTCTTTAGCTTTCTTCGAAATTCAGTAATTGACAACCCATGATTTCGCAAGTCAACCGGCAAACTGTTCCAAATCTTCGGTCCCATTACAGCGAAATCTCTGCAACTAACAGCAAGCTGAGTTTGTCGAATTGTTAACAAATCTAAATCGTTTGACCGTAACTTTTGACACTGTAACGGTGCATTTCTTGGAACAATTCTATCCATTAAATATTTTGGCGCTAATCCATTAATGCTTTTGTACACTAGTAGGGCAATTTTAAAAATAATTCTTTGTTGAGCATGCAACCAATGAAGATTGAAGAGAATAGGAGTAACATGATCAAAATATGAACCACCAGTTAACAACTTGGCAGCCCGATTTTGAATTAATTGTAACTGTGCAACATACTTTTTTTGGTAAACCGTAGAATAAACTGTTGCAATAATCGATCCTCGAGTGAATGAATGAGTGAATTAAGCATTGCAATGTATGCATATTTAGAGATCCTTTGATGAGTCTCAATTTTCTCAATTGGTAAGTACATTCTTTAAACAACAACTTTATGTGCAACTTCATCGTCATGTTTGTATCAAAAATAAATCCAAGATTTCGTGCTGACGCACAAAATTTGATGACAGATTCCTTTATTCTGATAGTGTTGATACCCACTCTATTCACTTGTTGCCATGTACCCACAGGCAAAAACTGGGTCTTGCATTGGTTTAACTTTAATCTGTGCCCCATCATCCAAACATTAATGGCTGATAAACACGATACTAAATCATCGACCACATCACCAAACGACGTAGGAGAGGAGTTGGCTATTATTTGGATGTCGTCAGCAAATGCATGAAACCTGAAATTGTACGACTCAATTATTGTGTAAACATCTGCTGTATAAAGCAAAAAGAGAATGGGACCTAAGACTGAACCCTGTGGTACACCGTATGGCAAAGCATCGACAGCTGCCAAATTTGTTTTGAATAAAATTTGTTGAGTACGAACAGCAAGGTACGACACGAACCACTTGTGAACGACTCCCGATTGCTTCAGTTTTTTTGAGAAGTATTGCCTGATCGACGCAATCGAACGCCGAGCTCATGTCCAAGAGAGCAAGCAATGACACATTTTGTTCGTCCATTGATGAATACAACCTTGACAAAATTAAAGCTGTTTCCGTCGAGTGAAACCTACGATAATCCGACTGGTGAACCGACAGAAGATTATGAATTTTTAAATAAGAAGCAAATTGTGATAAAACGATTCTTTCAACCAACTTTGACAAAAACATCAGGTTAGATACAGGCCGGTAATTTTTAACTCATGTCTATCAAGAGAATTCTTCTTCAAAATCGGTGTGACAACAGCATTTTTAAACGCAGATGGAAATGAGCCAGAACTCAAACACAAATTTATGAAAAACGTTAAAAACGGTAAAAACAAATCAATAAATCTTTTAAGAATCTTTGTGGGCACACAATCAAGAAAACAAGATTTTGATGGAGACTCTAAAATGACTTTATTTTATGTAGCTGTCAGTACAGGGCGAGAAGTTTGAAAAAAAAGATTCTTCATCAAGATCACATAGAGTGAATGTTGGTTCATCACAATGATTGGTTAAATTACGAACATCATCAATTTTGCTTTTGAAAAACTTGAAAAAGTCAAGAGAACTATGATCAACTTCTGATACATCCATTACCTGTTCCATTCCAAGCAAACCGTTAACGGCATTCCAAAGACGTTTTGGTTTGTTGCTATTTGATTCCACCAAGTCTTTCCAATAACAATTTTTCTTTTTGACAAACAAGCAACATTTATCTTTAATAGCTTGCCGCCAGATAATCTTATTTTAATCAATTGGGTTGTTTCGATAAACCCGT